AAACACTTGCTGTTGTCCAGAGTGTATAGAAGAGTCCCACGTGGAGTTGCCTCTTAACAATTATCTGTGGGCTAAATGAACATAAGAAGAGTTTGAGATCAGTGAAGGGGTCTCTGCCCCAAAATCGTGGGATCTTGCTAGCTGCCCAGGACCTCTCTTCAAAGAGACTGACCCACGAAAGGCAAACGAAAGCCTCATGAGGCGCCTACACTCGAATCCACAGACATTACCCTGGTGAGCTGGAACGTCCTTCATATCAAGTCTTCCCTCCTTCCACTTGAGTCCTTGGAAGTGAAGACCACCCCCAGGGTGCACACTGATCTCAGCATCACTTTTCCATGGATGCTTGAGCCCAGCACCCCACCCGCCCCCTGCCCCACCTTTCCAGCCCCTGGACATGCACATCCTGAACAGTGCTGCCCCTGAAGGCCTCGCTCTGACTTTCTCCTCTCAGCACAGTTCCTGCTTCTCTGCTTTCTAGTCAGCTTTTAAAGCCGGTCCTGCTTTCTGCAGCTACCTCTTCAGTCGCTTCAGTCAGCTGTGATGCTAATGACAAGACCATAGCATGGTAAGATTCTACCTTTTTTGAAGATGTCTCTGAGCAAAGATTTCCTTCTGCTTTTTTGGGTAGAGAAACCAAGGTGCCCAAAAGCCAGATGCCTTGGCCAGGCCACATGGCCAGACTTGAGTTCAGTTCTTCTAATTCCTCAGAGCAAACTCAGAAGCTCAAGGACAGGAGCTCCTGCATCAGCAGGAGATGAAAGAGAAAGATATTCTTAAGTCATCCCCAGTTTTGTTCCCAAGATATTTAAAGACCGTATCCACCTAGCTCAGCCTGTCCTCAGAGGTTATTCTTCTTTTATATCCTTAATGTGTAGAGATATTGAGTCTTCACTGTGGCAACCCTGAAGGGTTCTAGATAGCATCAGCATTTTTTTATTCACCTTGCACACCATCCCAAAGGATTACTCTCATGTCAAGAAGTCCAGTGGCAGATTGTTCTTCCTCCATTACGAGCAAGTCAGATTCCTGTTGCCCCTCATAATTGCAGCCCCTGAGTAGAAGCCTGGCATATACTTGTTCTTTCTTTGATATTCTTGAACCAGCTCCCCCTATGAAAACTGTAATCTATTCTGTCAATGTCTAACCTCTTTCAGCTACACGCATCATCTCATATCCCATAGCTAACAGAGTTATTCTTCCACTTTCTTTAAATTCCCAGAATTTCCATACAAAATAGTTCTGTAAAGACAGCTTGTAGGAGTGTAGGAGTTCTTTTCTGCCGAAAGCAAGTTCTGAATTAACCCCCACTAAACCTAACTTTCCTGTCTGCCTCCCAAGTAGGATCACAAAAGTTGGAGAGGCCAAAATATGTGCCAGAAAGGACGCACAGAAGCTGGGCTGTGGACAGTGAGGCAAACAGCTCTCACACAATCTGGGCAGCAAAGAAGCACCTAAGGACTTTATACCCAGAGAGTGTACAAGGTGCCTTGGGTGTTTCATATTAGCAAGAGGAATGAAAAAGTCAACCAGACTTCGCTTTTGTCTTTGTTCCTTTTTCCATTTTCCTGTTTGGAAAGTATTCGTTCTGATTCCTGTTTCTGAAGCATTAATTAGAATAACTGTCCATTAAATATCCCTACCCGCGCCCCACCCCCCCACCTTATTATAGCTTTGCAGTTTGTCATGCCCCTTTGGATTTTAAACACCATAGCGTGCCTCATTTGGTATCACTAATTGCTGTACTTATCATCTTGCTACTTCGTTTCCCCTAAAGACCCACAGCACCAGCCATCATGTGGGGCCTTCTCTCCCTGTGTAGTTCACAGAGATTTTGTTTTCATCAGAGGAAATACTTTTCAAACAATTTGAAATAGAATTGTAATCTTTCCTGTAGACTTACCTAGCTAAGTAGCTGCACGTTCGTGACAAGAAATAGACAGCTGAGACTGGGAAACTTCAGTTGCCAAATACATGGTGTAGAAATGTAGTGTAGCATACTGCAGTAGAGTATATTTCCATACTTTGACAAGGTTTCCTTGAATATGTATGTGAATTAAGATTGTGGCTTTAGGAATATTCTGCTAAATCCTAAATGTATAGCAATGTTTTCTTGAAACCTGGTGAAAACTAATGTATCTGCAGAGTTTGGGTTTATTTACAGCTTCCTGATGCTTTCGATGTGCTGTAGAGTGTATCCTGGGAGGCCACACTGTAGTCCTCCTGGGTTCCTATACAGCAGCAAACCTGGGTAACAAAAGTTGGGATGTGTGTGTTTTATAGATCCTTTTCATTCCATATTGAGATGTTCCCAGCCACTAAGTTAAGTAGACTAGTGGCTTCAGCACTAAGTTTATATCCCAACAATGTTTGGTACCCTCTCTGTGGTGGGATACATATGTATTGAAATAAGGACCATATCCAACAAAACAAGGTTGATCTGTAACTTAAGTATCTGGGTAAAGAAACACACTGTTACTGTCATATATAATTTTACAGTGAGATGATAAACTGGTCATCTAATTCTGGATAACAGCAAGGTTTTAGAGTCATAACAATCTTGCCAGCAGCTTTTCATGACAATTCAATATCTTGTTGGCCATACTTAAGCTAGTGGGTTGGGATTTTCTTTCTAGCAAATATAACTTCATTCCATGTATTTTTCCCTCACATCAGGTTAAACAAAAAGTGCTGTCATTTTAGAATCACTCAGTACATCTTTTTTAATTAGAAAAAACTTTACTTGAGTACTGACATAATTTTATTGGTGTTTTTTTAAAAAAATTTTTTTTTGACTGATTCATAGAATCCATCCAGTAACATGAAATTGAAATCCATGTCTCAAGAGGGTAGTTATGGCTGAATGTATCTCATGCTCAGAGTACGGCATGAATAAGAAAAATCCTTGTATATATTATTTGGTTCTTGGGCAGTCATCTGTGTTCATCTTTCAGAAAGCAGAAGATTTCATCTGATGCATTAATAAATATCAAAATAATTGTTACCAAAAAATAGAACTTCCCATGGACCAGAGACCCAAAAAGAGCAGTTTTAATGAGTGATTCCTGGAACCAAATGAGCTCTCCTTTAGTCTGGTGAGATAGAATGGTAGTTGCTGGTTATGACCCCATCTCACTCCTGCTGCTGGATAACTAGCATGAGTCTGCTTTCCTAAGGGCTGGTGGGGTGACAGACCTACTTCTTGCTGTGAAGGGTGAGATGAGACTATGCAAAAACGTAGGACAGTACTGGGGATCAACTGAAGAAGGGAAAGAAAAGCCAAGCCTGGCCAATCCGATGACATGCTTTATATTGCTGTGCGGTGGGATGGTACGAGGAGTCTGTTAATGTAGGTAAAATAGCAGCATCAGCTGAAGGCACAGTAGGCCCCTTACTGATACATGAGAGCCCCTTTGGTTGGGCTGCTTAGTGTTCTGACATGAAGGTGAATTTACTTTTGGCAGGAGGGTCTTCCTCCTCACCAGAGGGCTTTCTATTATTAGGTCAATAATGTCCACCTCTTGCTTGCCTCATTGGCTACCGTCAGTGAACAAGGCTTACAAAGGACACCTGAACTTTCTATTTTTGTACATGGTTGTCTGGATACTTTCACAACTTCCACAGCTTCTTTCTTCGGTCTCATTGGACACCAAGAATCATCTTGGAATTTAATCTCGTCCACTTCAGAACAGTCGTTGAGAATTTCCATAAAAAGCCCATCTAAAATTAGACTCACAGGCAGCCTTTTTGTCACACACAGGACAAAGGCTGATAGCTTTCTTCTCATTTATTTGCAAATAAATGGCAGCATCAGAGCATTTGCCAGTGTGTACAAGTCGCTGCATAGCATGGGATTGTCAGGCCTGTGTTCCTTAAAAGGCACATCAGAGATACCCAAAGGCTTGTTACAGAAATTTCTGTATTAGGATCTGCAGCAAGTTTTTTTTTTTTAATTAGTGCTCTGGAATGATCAGGGTTTCTAATATCTTTCCTTTTTAATCATTATAATAATATGGCTGATGTGAATTGATACACAGACGTAATTCTTTCCAATTTTTGGCACAGCCGAAGATAACCTCCCTAATGGTGTAATATTCAGAAGGCATCCAGGGTGCTTCTGTTCAACCCCATTTTTAGGAGGTGGTTCTGCAAAACCAGTTGAGGGAAACTGTTTACCATTTACCATTTACTTTTATATGTAGGCTAATGGGTAGTTGTCTTCTGGAAGGCAACTTGACTCTTCCAGGCAAAGTCTCAGCTAAACTGGCACTCTCAGCTAAACTGGCACTTTATAATCCTCTCCTACCACTGGGCAGAGAAATCCCTGCATATGCATATCTCTCTAACTTGCTGAGGTGTCAGAACAAAAATGAAAACTTTGCTTGAACTCATTGAATACCGCTTTGGAGTAAACTCATGCGCTTCTTGAGAACATCACAGAAGGACATTTTTAACCACATCAAGATGGAAAGGAGGAATTGGGGAACACAGCCACTGCATCTCAGTCATGGGCTCAGTATCTTGAAGCAGCCAACAGGAGAGGGTGGTGAGTGAAGTGTTAAATAGCAGGAGCCACAAGTGGATTTCAGCCTCAGCCAAGTCTACTTCTACAGGCAGTGAGCTACCATCCAAAACAACTGATGATTTGATTGTAGATAAATCAGAAAGGCCTTCCAGAGTCCATAAGTATCTGCATTTATACAGTTCTTGGATTTCAGTCTGAACTACAAGGCTGCAGCTGCTCTTCTATAAATGCAAGGCAGGAGGTCGTGCTTGCATCCACTTTTATTCCATCCCCCAAAGCCTAGTGACACTTGTAGTTCATAAGCCCTGAAACTAGAAGCCATGTTCAGAATGGTTAAAATGAAAACAGTGGTACTACCAAATGCTGGGAAGGATACCAAGAAACTTGATCACTCCATGCATTGTTGGTAGGGATATAAGTGGTAGAGCCACTCCTGAACTCCTGGAAATTCACTGTTTTGTATCACCCTTGGCAGGGGCTCCACCACAGCAGCCACCAACGAAGACACTGCCATGCCATGGCCACCGCAACCTCCAGCCCCATATTGCACTGACCATAGCTGGACACATCTGGGCTACCACTGACTCATCATGTGACCAGTGCAGAAGCTGTACCCCTAGCTAGTTTTTTTTTTTTTTTTACTAAAGTATCACTGATATACAATCTTATGTTGGTTTCAAATATACAACACAGTGGCTCAACAGTTACCCGTATTGTTAAATCCTCACACCCTCTAGTGCAGTTACTATCTATCAAAGTAGTAAGAAGTTTCAGAATCATTGGGTATATTCTCCATGCTGTACTACCATCCCTGTGATCAACCTATATTGTGATTACAAATTGTTATCAGCTAGTTTCTTTTTTAATGAAACAGTTCAAATAGTGTATGTATCAGAATCAGATTATGAACCTGCAGTAAACAATTAAGAGCAGACTATTTACAGCCATTCAAGATAGGAAGAAATAGGTGATATTACAAGTAGCACACATTTTTGTTAACTTGAGTGTATATGTGTTGGATAAGCATTTTCAGTGTTTCTTTGCTTACACTTAATTATATTTGTAGATCACTGAAAGCAAAGTAGTTTGCCCAATTTATTGGCATTTTGGATATTGATAGATAAGAGTCTCTGAAACTATATTTACTTTTATTTGTCATTTTATGATGTAGTCTCAAGAGAAATGTCCACCAAATAACTTTCTTAATGTGCCTGTTGTGAAATGAGGAGCTAGTGAACAGTGACTGTCTTCTTTCACTGTCAGCCTCTGCAGCATTTGCCCCAATGCCCTAAGTAGTGGTTAAAACTGAGTTACAAGTAATATCTTACCCACAGTTGTCATCATCCTTTAGAACAGCCTGGGAAAAGGTAGGATTGGCTTAATTAGGTCCTTTGGGGGAAAGTCATAGTGCACTCCTTATCTCTCCTCATGTATACATTTGCCTTAAGTACCATTCTGATAGTTTGGGAGAGTCTCTAAAATTTAGTTGGCAGTTGTTTTGATGGAATAAAAGAAAATTACTGCCTACATTAAGGGTATTTAAAAATACATGAAAAGAATTACATACTGTTCATAATAGCCAAAAGGTAGAAGCAATTCAAATTTCTACCAGTGGATGAATGGATAAACAAAATGTGGTATATATGCATACAATGAAATATTACCCAGCCGTGAAAAAAAAGATATTCTGTCACATGTTACATTGATGAACCTTGAAGATACTATGCTGAGTGATATAAGCCAGTCACAAAAGGGCAACTACTGTATGACTCCACTTATCTAACGTTCCTAGGGTAGGCAAATTCAGAGACAAAACTTAGTATGGTGGTTGCCAGGGACTGGGGAGAGGAGGGAGAGGGGACTTGTTCCTGAATGGGTACCGAGCTTCCATACTGCAGGATAAAAAGTTCTAGAGATCTGTTGCACAGTAAGGTGAATGTGTTTAACTGAGCTATACACTGAAAAAGAGTTAAGATGGTAAATCTTATCTGTTCTTTTTTCCACAATAAAAAATATCTCTCCTTCCCCCACAAGAAAGACTTATAGCTAGTCATCATTTTTTTCTTAATTGGAGAAAATAAAAGTAAATGCTTCAGGCACTGGTGCCTGAGGGTAGGAGGCTTAAGTCATTTGAAACTTAAACAAGAGGATTTATATCTGTGAGCCTTTAGTTTCTTATCTGTAAAATCAATGGATTATACTGTAATTTCTAAGGCTACTTTCAGTTCTACAATTCTGTGGTTCAGCATTTCGCATAAGTATCTGTCCCCATCTTCTTTATTCACAGAAACTTACTGATACACCTTTAATTACTCTAATGCTTAGCTTTCCTTGGCCTATTTTCACCAAGATCTTAACTCTGCAGAGTTTGCGCTGTAGATGAGCATAGTTGTAAGCCAGCTATGTATTTATACCATCATAAATTACAGAAACTTCTCTTGGTCTAACATTTCTGCTACAAGGAAAGTCAAAAAATTGAAGTATTTTATTAATGTTGCTAGCATCTACCTCTGCTGCTAGCCCTCTTCTTCCTGGTAGAAGATATTTCACCAGTACTAGAGCATATCTCTGAGCAGAATGTTTTCTTTCAGTGAAAATGAAACAACAGTTGAGCAATAATATAATAACTGACGGGCAAATGAAAGATGAGAATGCCTTCCTCGAGTCAGACTTTAACATTAGTACAAGTTTCTTCTTGATTTGACTTCTCTCTGCTCCCTCTCTGGCTTCTCAGCTACATTAAACACATCTGCTAGATAAATTAAATGTAGTTTGCAATTCCATGCCCACAATATTCTTTTCTTAAGTGTCTGTTGAGAGCCCTCTTTTTGCCATGTAATTATGAAGTGACTTTATAAGCTTTTTGGAGACAAGAGTTGGGATGAAATTATAAGATCCATCACAACCTTGTAGAAGTTCCTTCTCATTTCGATCCTCTGGAGACAAACCCTTCCTTCTCCTCCATTTTAGATCTCATCTGGTCACTCATTTAATCAGACAGAAATATGTAGGGTATCAGAGCAGTACTTCCCCCTATGCCTATATAGGTCAACAAAATTAGATTGAAGGATCAATGTACATATTTAAAAACTAACAAAAAATCAAGTCAGAGGCAAAGGAGATTTAAGCATTCTGTCTTGAACTTCAATAAAAATCCTCAGAAAATCAACATGAATTTATATATAGTGACCAGAATTGCCCCCTAAGTGAACCCTATATCTTTGTATATATGAATGAAAAACTCCCCAGCCCCTGTCAAAGCTTAAGAAAGCAGGGGTGGGAGGGTTGCTTAGTTTTATACCTTCCTTGGCTTATGTAAGACATTCATTTTTTTTTAGTCTGTTCAATATATAGTTCCTCTGCAACTATAAAAAGACTTCTTCCTACAAGAATTTAAACTAATTTCCTCCCTCTGCTTTTTCTAGAAATTCCAGTAAATCCTCAAGTCTGGGGCAATAGTATTCCCACAGCTGGCACTCCTGTGGAAGAAATGCCTCTCAGCTGGAGATGGCCCATTAAATTTGCTTGGTCCCTCCAAGGGTGACATGCACAAAACAAGACACCATTTCCTTTCTGGGAAAAGCCTATCTCACATTGCACTTTTCACATTCAGTAATAGTTCTTTTGAATATTTCCATGTTCCCACAAGCTCATGAAGAAGGCAGAAGTAATGCTATTTATAGAAAGCTTTTGCACGTGTTTCATTTTGCAATTAATATTATCCTCCTATCTGGTCTACTGTAGCTGCTCACTCTAGAATTCTTAAAGAAGTGTTTTTGTTGCTGAAGTGCCTAAACTGGAAGTAGATGTCATCAACTCTGGGGCAGGAAGTACACAGATGGTATAGGCAAGAGGTGAGATAACCTCAGCTCTGGTAGTAACTTACTGTGCTATATGGGGCAAGTTCCTTATTTGCCTTACTCACCACATCTGTAAAGAGACAATCTTACTGATGACCGTGGTGGTAGTGAGGACACGTGTTTGTTTCCAGTGTTGGTTTATTGCACCCTCTCCAGGCATTCAGAGATGCTGTGTGCTGAGCACTTGGAATGCATCGTGTGGTTCTCCCAGTAGCAGCCCTGTGAGAAGATACTATCATTCTCGTGTGGAGATGAGGAAATTCAGAGTTGGAGTGTTTGAGTAATTCTCCCAAGGACATACAATTAGGAGAATGGTGGGCCCGCAACTATTCTCACATTTTAGCCAGTTCTTAAAAGAGATCATACTGTGGGTGGCCTTGTTTTGACAGAAGGTAAACAAGATGTTGGAGATGAGAGAATAAGCAAAATGTGTGCTGCTTTTTCTAACTGTTCATTTGGAGCTCTTATTAGAAGGTAACAGCTTACCTTCTGTGGGCTCATGAATAGTTTATCTCTAAGGGCTGGTCTGCCTTATCATTTCTCCAAAAAACTCCTCAACTCTGTCTGCCTTCAAAAGAAAGAAACATACAAACACCACAGTCTGAAAATGTTAAAGTTCAGCCCCCTTATTTAGGAAGTGTTTGCTCAGAATCTCCCCACAGATCTGAAGGTTGCAGCTCCAACTGTACTTTTCCTGACAAGCTATCACTGAAGTGCCCTTTGGTGGAAACCTCCTGATGCCTTACTGCTTGGCTTGTCCTTTCAGGTAATCAGAGTTAATTCCAGTCATGCTTATGCAAATCTTCTCCCAAAATGACAAAGGAGCAGTGCCCCATCTTCTAGGAAGGTCAGGAGAAGGGATGCACCCCGTTGATGTTAATTTGTGTTTCTGTGCCACATCTTCTGAGGTGACAGGGAGGTAATGACCCCATGCCCAGCATGTAAATGAGAACGTGCTGTCGATTCCTGAGCATATGCTGTCTGCAGTTATATTTTTTCAGATTTGATGGGTTTCATCTGTAAATGAAGATATGGATCGATTCATTGGTGCTTTTGAAATGATTTCTCCTAACTGTACATCTATCAGTCTGAAAAGCTGCGCTTGTTTTATTCAGAGACATGATAGGAGTAGTAGGTAAGAGAAGAGAAGAGACTTTGAGCAAGATACACCTAAATTTAAATCCTGACACTTGTTCAGTAGCTCTTTATCCTTGCTCACAGTATTTAATCTCTTAAAACATTATCACCACTCAATTTTTCTACTAAAGGCAAAGGAATACCATTCTTCAGTTAATGTTAGTTTTGTCCTTGCCATGTTTTTGAAATACCAGAGCCAAATGATGAGTCAGAAATTTTCTCTCTTCCCCAGTCTGATAATAAGGCTGGCATTTCATGAACTGGTCAGGTGTAAGTAATCAAAAGGCTCTGAAAGTTTTCTAACATGTGGTACTATAATAACCTTGGTTTTACTAAATAATACTGGTGTACTATTAAATCAGTATTTTAAATGTTTTTCTTCAAACTGTTCTATTTCATTCGGCTTAATAAGGACTTCTCCATACACATCTCACTTCCTTAATGTAGTGAAAATTGCACCAACATGGAGCTCACATGGATTCCCCTTCAAAGTCTATCACAAATTAGCAATAGTATCATCAGAAAGTACATGACCCTTTAGGCCTTGACTTTGAAAAGTAAGGAATAGGGCTCAGTGGTTTCCAAGATCTCTAACGCACAAGAATTTGTTTTATAACTCTGCTGTATTTAAACCTCTAACTGCCTTGTTGAGTTTGGACTTGGGGTTTCTCTCAACAGATTATTACATTTCACTAATAAGTGAGTACATTCCAGAGTTGTCTACACAGATGGCCATGCCCCTGGAGGTCGGTAAATACTCAACTGAGTGCTGGCTGGCCCGGGAGCCAGCAGACCTGGATTCTGCTTCCAACCACCTGCCAGCTGGCAGACAATCCTCACATGCCAGCTTCCTCCTGTGGCTGAGGAAAGGGTCTTCTCCATGCCTCTCTAGGGTCCCTTTCACGACTGACATTGTCTGATTCTGAAAATGATTGGTAACGATTGTTCGGTCCCAGAAACATACGTGTGAATGTTGGATTTTGACCAAGGGTGAGTTACCTCACTGACATTCTCTATTTGCTGAACTGACTTTAGAAAGGAATCCTGACTCCCCAGATCTCACAGACAGCGCATCTTGTTGAGGGGAGGGATAGCGGCGTTACGTGACACCGAGTTATGTGATGTTCCGCCTTCCTAGTCAGCCTCAGCAGCAGGGCCAATGTGAGAAAAGCCTTTGGCTATGCTTTGTAAAATCCCTTAATATCCAAGAACAATGGCAGGAATGTTACAGGGATCTTGGTGATCTGAGGGGTCTGTGAACTGTGTACAGAAGCTGCCCTTTCACACAGCTGACAGACTGTAAACACCTCATTTACTAGTGAGGTTTTCTTAATTGAGACTCACCAGACCTTCTGAGGAGGAGTAGGATGGGAAGGGGGAGACCAGTAGAAAGAACAACATACATTTTCCTCTTGCTTCCAGCGAGATTCTACCTTAGCAGTGCCAGACTAAGTGTGCTCTCCTTTAAAGTTTATAGCTGAATGCATAGGTGTCTGTGTAATACCAAAGTAGTTTTCTTTCCAGAAATATTCTTTAAAGCTGACCCCATTTTTTCTTATGAGACATCGGCCACTCTTTTTTCATACGTAGGCGGTTTAGGAAACCAGTAGGCAAACAGCTTGCCTCCTGTGCATGCCTGTGCCGTGCAGAGCCTATCCCATTGAGTCGTATTTCATGTCTTGCCTTCAC